GGTTCCGGCATTAATTGCAAAGGAGGGGATAAAGATATTAAGCTGGTTGTGCGCCATGAGTGCAAACTTGACGTAGCTTCAAACTGTGTATTTGCCCCATTCAATTTGAAACAAGATGACCCATATATATTAGCATTATCTTTAAATTTTTTTTTTTTTTTTTTTTTTTGTAAGGAGTATAGGGACTAGGGGTTAATGAGCCAAGCCTGCTCATGAAGCGCTCGGCTTTAAAGCTGTCAAAAACTGACAAGAAACGATAATCTGACATGAACACTACACGAAATAAGCGGATTTGGGTCAAAAATTCTTAACCCGTTTAAGTAATTGGGTTGACACGAACCCGACACATAATTAAACGGGTTAGGTTTGGGTTGAAATTTTCAACCCGAAATCGATACGCATAACCTGATTATAATAACGGGTTGAACATAAACCTGTTAACCTAAATTCAACACGCTTGACTTGTATGTTAAATTAGTCAACATAATTGAATTTTTTTTGAATGACAATCTTACTAACCCTCCTAACTACATAATTTAGTAGTATGCATATATTAGTAACTTTTAGTTGAGAAAATTTTGGTTTGGGTGGACAAATTTTATTACTTTTTCACTTTAAAGTCTTCTATAATTAATAGCATGAGTGGATAAAAGGTTACCCGAATAACCTATTTAATAAGCGAGTTAGGTTTAGGTCAAGGCCGGGATTTCAACCCTTTTAATAAACGATGTTATGGGGTTTTTTTATGTCCCTCGAGAGAGTTACGTCACCAAGGTTGATTCCCCGCGCGGATGTACCTGCAAAACAACGGAAGCTCCGGGTGTTCGGAGTTTTGCCTCTAACGATCAAGTTAGATAGCGTATGGAGTACCGTAAAAACTGCAGAAAGTGAAAGTGGATCTTCTTGGATTCCGAAATCAGGTTTTTTCTCTATTTTCGAGAGAGTTTATTGTATGTAATAAATGAACATGCCCCCCAAATGGGATAAATCTCTCTATTTATAGGGTCATTGGGAAATGTGCCTCTTCCTAGGTCATTCTGACCTAGATTTGGTGGGCTATGTCGTTTTACGGCTTTCTTGGGAATTAGGCACTGAAAGCCGTCATTCCATGAGTAATATTTGCATGCCACGTATCAAGTCCAAAGTGGACCATTTGAACTCCTTATCAGGTGACACGAGTCACGCTCCTATTTGGCCATATGGTATGGGTAAAAAATCTCCAAATCATTTGCTCCTCACATGGGTGGCGTGGCTCTCCACGTGACATTGTGACAAGTGTCACTCATGCAAGGGTAAATGGTGTTTAAACTATTTATTTTATGGAGTAAATTTAGGGTTTTGGACCCCTAGTTTTACCTTCTATAAATTTGCTTTCACCCCCTCATTTTTGAGTATTCACAAAAAAAATTTGAGAGGGAATCTTTGACTTTTGAGAGAATTGATTATTGCCGCTTGAGTTCAATTCGCTTGCATCACATATAACCCAAGCACTTCCAACAGCACCTTCAATACAAGGCAACCACCTATCTTTTCTCTTTCTTTTGTTCTTCAATTATCGTCTGTGTTTGTTATTCCTTGTTTACAAAATGGTTTCACAAACACGCACAGCCCGCATGACCTAGAGTATCTGTCAGCCGGCCACCGGGGACGGCTGAATCTAGGATTAGGAGTGTCGCCTTCCCCCACTTGGGTTCCCCTCTGCAAACATCCCCGAGTCCGGTCGTCTCTGTATTTGTGTAGGACACTATGGCCAGGATTAAGAGGACGACCTAAGGCCCCGTAAATGATGACAAGGATGACATCACTATTAGGGTGCCAAGGATAAAGTTTATGACCATCCACCCAGCACTCCAAGTACGCTCGATGACTCCATCTTGAACGAGTCAGATGATGGTCCTGACAATAGTGCGTCCTGCTCTGAGCAATAGTGACCTCAGTCGCACACTGCCTCAGGCGGCTCTAATGCTGAAACAAAGCCGCCTGTGGCCCATGAAGAGCAAGAGAGTTCTAAGTCCTCCTTTGATTTTGAGGAGGAGGCCGCCTCTGTTGAAAGAGAACAAGGGGATACTTCTTCCTCTGCACAATAAGGGTTCACCCCTTACTTTACCCATATCTCCACTGAAACTTTGAGAAACATGCGCAAAAAGATAAATGAGTTTTGGGACACCTATGTCATGGGCGTCGAATATCAGATTCATGTGTAATACTCAATATTTTTATTATATTTAGATATATAGATTAATTAGCTCATTTATTTTATATATATACATAAATATAATGGATCATGGATTGAGGCAATAAAAGTATTTTTTAATTGGGTCAATCCTATTTAAATGAGTGAACCAACTTATTGGAAATTTAAGTTGGCCCAAAGGGGGTAAATATGATTTTTATTTTTAAAAGGAGAGTATAAATACTTTAAAACCTCAAGATTTTTCCACACAAGATCATAATTGTCAGATTTCACAAAATTCAAAAGATTTCTCTTTATTTTCTCTTTCTTCTCTTTCCTTTATTTTTATTTTCCTTTTCTTCTTTTCCCCCCCAAATCCCACGCCACTCTATATCTCCTTCTCCTTCCTTTTGCGCGGCCAGCACACCGGCGCCATTACCACCATCGGAGGCAGTAGCAACAACGCCGACACACACTCTCTCCTCCTCCTCTTTTTCGGTTTGTGTGTATAAAAAAATTCTTTTAATCCTAAAATTAATTCTATTGGTTTAATGTTTTAAAGACATGATTTTTATTTTGTTTTGGTATTGATTTTGGGATTTTGATGTTGCTAATTTATTAATATAAATTTCATATTTTTATTTAACCAAAAACCCTAAATTATAAACTATAGAAATTGGGGATTTTGTATAATTGGTTAGGGATTGAGGCTAGATTGTTGTTATTGATTAATTCATGGTCTAATCATGTTTTTGATGAGTTTAAAGCCGTCAATTTAATGCTGGAATTTATTTACACACACTACTTTTTAATTATTGAGTTATGGTTTGATTACCCATAAAACAGAGAAAGGTGTTAATGATTTATATATGATTTCCTAGAAAAGTGATGTTTTATACTAAATAAGTATGCTGGAATTTTATTTAAGTCATGAAAATAAAGTCTTTTAAAAAGGATTTAAAGCGTCAATTAAAGAAAAAGTTTTATGGCTTTATTGTCATTAAAAGGGGTTGATTAGGATGATATAAATAGTATTATAGTTGCTAGAAATTTGTGAGAATAGTGGATTAATTATAGTATTGTATTTTAATTGTAGGAAGTTTCGAGCTATGTTATTTCTAGAAAATGTGGCTGATAAGTCTATTTTATATATATTTTATTCCCCGTCCCACGGTCATATTTGTGCTTATTTGAGCTCTACGGGGCTATTTTTATTACTAATATACGTTTTCTAGTGTTTTTGTAGAGTTGGTTTTATTTTGTAGGAATTTACAGATTTATGACAATTCCCGAGCTTATTGATCCACTACAAAGATATTGGAGTCGGATTGTATTTTATGACCGAATATTTAAAGCTCAAGACCGGGTTAAAGGAATTTGGTTCGGTGAATAAGAGCTTAATTATGAAGGAGTCCAAGTTTAACAAACAATATACAAAATGAAAATTTTTACCTACAACCTCCTTTAGCTATTGCTGTCTACTCCCCCTCTTTAGCTACGTCGTTTTGATCATTTCTGCATTTTTTTTCCTCTTTCTTCTTTTCCTTACTTATTGTTCAAGCCACCTATATAATTCATTTTAAACCTAATTTTTGTATTTTTCATTCCTTTTTGTTCATTTTCTCTCTCTAGATCGTTGTTTTCCTATCAATTATGGATGAATTCGTGATTGTAGATGTTGATCGTGATTATGAAATTCAGCATTCTTCGATTTCTCAGTTTGATCGTGATTGTGAAGCTGTTTTTCCGTCTTCTACTGGATTGTTCAATTCATTTGTTGATCAATGTAAGTTTTTTTTATCACTTTTGATTCTGTTTTAGTTGTTTTTTGAATTTAATTTGTTTGATTATGATCAATTTGAATTGTTTCGATTAATTTTGCTTCTATTTTAGTTGTTTAATGTATGTGATTTTTTTTATTATGATCAATTTGAGTTGTTTCGATTAATTTTGCTTCTGTTTTTGTTGTTTAATGTATGTGATTTGTTTGATTATGATCAATTTGAGTTGTTTAGAGTAATTTTGCTTTTGTTTTAGTTGTATTATGAATGTGATTTGTTTTATTAAATTGTTTTTGTTTTAGATTAATTTAGTCTCTGTTTTAGCTCGATTTTGACTACTCTAATTTTGAATGCTATTTTAGTTTTATTTGTTGTATAATTGTTTGATTTAGTTTCTGATTTAGTTATATTTGTGAATTTTGATTTTGATTACTGTAAATTATCATTTCATTATTATGTATGTTATTTTTATTAGTTATTAGTTTATGTTTTGCGCTACTGTGAATTATCATTTATTACTCTATGTTATGTTTCTGTTGTTTTATTATTTTGAACATTTGTATAATTATAAATGATCATTATCAGTTATAATAATATTTAGAGCTTTATATTATTTAAATATTTGGATCACATTGAAAATGCTAAATGATCATTTGCATATGTTCTGTTTTGTATTTGTACATTTCTGTTATTCATTATGTTCATTTTGAAAAACTTATGCAGTGGGTACTAGTGATGAAATTCTATTTGAAGAAGCAACTAAATCAGAGTTACTTTATAAAGATATTAATTCTGAACAAGAAGCTTATGATACTTATAATGAATATGCTTTTAAGCATGGTTTTGGTATTAGAATTGATAAAAGTAAATCTCGAAATGATGGCTCTTTAAAGATGAAAAGATTTGTTTGTTGAAATGAAGGTTGGAAGGATAAGAAGGCAAAGAATAAAAGGGCTTATGAGAGACTTGATATAAGAACTGGTTGTTTGGCTTTTATTCAGTTTAAGATTGATCGTTTAGGTTGATGGACATGTACAAAGCATTACATGAAACATAATCATCATATGATTCCTCTTGAAAAGAGACATTTGTTAAGGTCTCAAAGAAGTGTTTCTAAAGAAAATTTGCAATTCATGTCTACATTAAGGTGTAGTGGAGCTAAAATTTCTGCAGCGTTGAGGGCAATGAAGAAGGATGTTGGTGGGTCTCCTAATTTAGGATTTACGGGATCGGATTCCTATAACGCTTTATCTGCTGAAAAACGATCTTTACTTGATGGTTGTGACAGTCATCAATTGATCAAATACTTTGCTAAAAGACAACTTGATGAAGCTGAATTTTACTATGACTTTGAACAAGATGAGGATGGGTGTTTAGTTAACTTTTTTTGGCGTGATGGTCGGATGAAGAGAGATTATGAGTACTTTGGAGATTTGCTGGTTTTTGATACCACGTATAGGACAAATAAATATGGAATGATTTGTGCTCCGTTTAATTTGTTGGTATGAATCATCATGCTAATAACCTTATGTTTGGTATGGGTTTTATTTTCAATGAGCGAATTGAATCTTTTGTGTGGCTTTTTGATACATTTTTGAAATCTATGGGAAACAAAAGTCCTATCACAATTATGTCTGATCAAGCTCAAGCAATTGCAGCCGGTATTCGGAATGTATTTCCTCCAAGTGTGCATCATCGTCTTTGTGTTTGGCACATTGAGCAAAATTCAAAGAAGCATATTGGGGCTTTGAGAGCTTTAGACGGATTTACAGATTTGTTTGGTTATTTGCTTAAGTATTGTGAAACCCCTGCTGAATTTAAACATTTTTGGAAAAAGTATTTTAATTATTATTAATTTTAATATGATTTTTTTTAGTAGTTTTACAATTTTGATCAATTTCATAATTCTAAATGATCATTATGATTCAAACTAATGTTCTGTTATAGATGTTTTAATTATATTTTAAATATTTAGTACTTTATTTTATTTTATTATTTTGATCAAATTGATAATGCTAAATGATCATTTATATATGTACTGTTTTGTATTTGTACATATTTGTCATTGATTATGTTCATTTTTAAAACTTATGCAGCGGGTGCTAGTGATGAAATTTTGTATGAAGAAGCAACTAAATCAGAGTTACTTTTTACATATTTTAATTCTGAACAAGAAATTTATGGCAGGTACAATGAATATGCTTTTAAGAAAGAATTTAGTATTGTGCAAGTGTGTGCTCCAAGAAAAGGCCAAGTTCATTCAAGTGCTCCAAGTGATGTCCAAGTTTCTTTAAGTGTGCCAAGAAAAAAGGTTCAATTACGTCCAAGTGTTCCAAGAAATTTTCAAGTTCCTTCAAGTGTTCCAAGAGATGTTCAAAGTGTTCAACGTGGTAGCTAATCAACATATTTCTTCTAAGTATGATAGGTTGTTAGCTTTTTCATTTTTACACTAATGTAGCGAATAGGTTGGCAAATAATAATAAGTAAGAATTTGGATTGAAACAACATATATTTGTTCCAGCTTAGTGTTTTTTTTTTCTGATAAGTGATATGTAACTGAACATGTTTTGTTTTGACACTGAACATTTGCCTTTTTGGTTACGAACATTTTATTGTATTTCGTTATAACTGTTACGTAATTGAACATATAACTTCTTGATAATGAACATTTTATTGCATTTCGTTAATTTCTTGATATGTATATGTATATAACAAGCACTAATGAATTAAAAAAATATATGAATATTAATGTACTTGATCATTTAGAAATCCATAAATGATCAAATAACCGAAAGAATAATATTTGTAGTAGTATAAGCTTCCATAAATCTTCTTGCTCCTTTTGTATTGCCTCTAGCTTCTGTTTAATCCAAATAGCATCAGTTGAGCAATGTATTATATTCTCAGCTTCTTGATTTGGTGTATCTGTAAGTCAAACAAATTACAATGTCAATGTGTGTATTCATTATTATGAAAATGAACATTATGTTATATGTCAAATTAACTTATTTGTGGTTCAACATGCTTTTATCAAAATATGATTCCTACATATTACTATGTTGTTCATTTTTATCTTTCAATATAATTGATGGCATTATCTCCTTATAAATTTAGGCTCATAGTTTTCATCTCTAAATTATTGCAACGTGTGTTTCACTCTATATAGAACATAACTACAATATATATTGTGTTTGTAAATCAATATATATGCATAAACATTATATTGATATTACAAATTTAATAAATGTTCAATTTGCAAAACAAAAATGTACATTCTGTTTTATATAAATGAACAAATTATCACAAATAACATGAGCATATATACATCACAAATAATGTAAGTGACAATATGTGATTTATTTTTGAACATATTTTAAAATAGAATCATATTTTAAAATAGAACCATCAAAGGTTTATGATGAATGAGCAATATGTAATTTAGTTTTGAACATTTTTAGACATGTGAATGAACATACATTAACATATGTGTGAATAATATACACATATCCAAATGAACATTTATCTATCAAATTCGAATAAGCATCTATCAATATTTGAGCGAAAATATATGTAGTATAACATTCAAATGATGCTCATGAGCATATAATTTAATATGAAGTTAAACATGTATTATTATAATCTATGTGGATATTTTCAATATGAGAATGAAAATGTACGTAATTACATTCAAATAAATATATGTTTAAATACCAGTAAACATTCATTAATATGTAAAGATCATAAACAAAATTAGAGTAATATTCTTTCAAGAATGAACCCTAGTAGATGTAAGGTAAGAATATAAATGATCATATACTAGTATCATAATGAACATCTATCAAATTGAAAATGAACATTTACTGAAAATGAACGTTTGTTCAGCAATCGTCTTCTCCGACGAAACGTTCGAAGTATTCTTCTCTGTTTCGTTTTTACTAATTAAAAATACCACCAAATGTAGTAGATTTTAGTCTGTTTTGCACAAAAAAAAGTGTAATTATAGTAGAATTTGTTTTAGAATATCAAAACGCAAAAAAAACATATAAAATCTAGGGTTTACATTCAAAATTCTACTTAAATGAACAAATTCTTACTCTTCTTTTTTGGAATTTTTTTTTGCGATTGACGAACTTCATCTCGAATGTCAGGCATTTTTAGATGTTTTGATGCAATTTGCAGTAATTTTGAAGATTTTTTTTCTTGAATTGTAGCAATTTTGAGTATTTGAAGAGAGAGAATATGGTGTTGAAGAGAAATGGAGAATTAACTGCAAGTTCTAACTAGTGCGGCTAGTGGGATGCATTAATGGGGTGTGGTTAGTGGGGGTAAGGGTTTTACGGTAATATCAGGGGGGGAGTAGGTATTAATGGCTAAAGGGAGGTGTAGTGAATAGGAATTAATATACAAACTAAACAAGCTAAGGATTGGGCCAAACTTGCTGACCCAATCTCATGAGAGAGCCCAAGCTGAGCATAATTTTGGCGGGCCCGATCGGACGGACTAATGGCCCGATCGGGTGAGTGTGTAGCAAGCTGCTATGTCAGTTATGATCTCCTATAGAGTTCTATTCTTAGTGGGTTTTTATTGTTAAAAAAAGGAAAAATTGCCCAGAATAATCCGACCTCTAGCTCATCCGCCTAAAATAATCCCACCTTTCGATTATTTTTTAATAATCCGACCTTTATACCTATTCCGCTTTAAATGGTCCTAACCGGTCATCAAACTTGTTATTACAAGTTTCAAAACACGTGTCAGCCTATGATTTGTTTTAAAAAATAAAATTAAAAATAAAAATAAAGATATTAAAAAAAAAAGAAAAAAAATTAAAAAAACCCCAAACTCTCATCCAGCATCCAGCCACCAGCCTCTACCCAATTCCGACCACCAGATCCCCTCCTTGATTCCGGCCACCAACTCCCCTCCCTTTCCCAACCCCCGTTTTCGACCGACTTCGACTCCGACACCAGCTCGCGACACCACCAACATTGCAGTGACACTGTCGCTCCTTCGCAAACGCACCACCCACATTCATCCCCAAAATCGCGAACACCCAATCAGCCCCCAAAATGCACAATACAGTCGGTCCCAAAAACACACCATCCAATCAGCCCCAAAATCGCTCCATCCAATCAACTCCAAAATCGCAGACACAAAACACACCACCCAAAATCGCAAACACCAAACACATCACCCAAAATCGCAAACAGGGTCGATTTCGGTGGTTGGGCTGGGAAGAAGAGGAGGTTCGGTGGTTGGTCTGGGTAGAGGAGAAGATTTCGATGGTTGGGCTGGGTAGGGGAGGTGGTTTCGGTGGGGTGTGCCGGAGAGGGTGGTGGCTGTGGGTTTTTTTTTTATTTAATTTTTCAGTATTTTTTTTTTGTTAATTTTTTTTTTTTTTTTTCCGTTACGTGGTGACACATGTGCAACACAATCACAAGTCACAAATGGTAAATTGTTTAGCCGGTTTCAAGTCACTTAGGATTATTGGAAGCAGATCGGACATATAGGTCGAATTATTAAAAAATAATTGAAAGGTGGGATTATTTTGGACGGATGAGCTAAAGGTCGGATTATTCTAAGCAATTTTTCCTTAAAAAAAGCCCATTAGCTTTGTTATAAATAGGAGGGAGTACGTAGGATTTTGGGGAGGGGAGCTTATTACTTTTCTTTATTTCTTTTAGTTTAAGATTTCGGATTTCGGTAACTTTGTTTCATCTAGGATTTTAGTGGAATCTTTTATGCTTTTTAGTTTTCTAAGTTGACTTTATTTTGGAGTTTCTTTAATCCTTGAGTTTTTAATTTATTGTTTTCGTACTACTCGTATTTCGCCACTTTGCAATTTCTTCAGATATAGTTTTACTCTTATTTCTTTGTTTAGTTTATTTTAATTTATTGCTTTCATATTAGTTTTAATATTATTGCTTTCTATCATGACTTCTTTTATTGTTTTGATTAGTTTACGAGTAGTTTAATTCTAGGGTTCTTGGGGATCCATGATTAATATGAAGGGTTAATCTATTATTGTTGATTGTCAATGTTTTTGGTTAATTTCCTATTGATTGATTTAATGCTATGCAATTAGATTAGCGCTGCTTTAATTGTATGAGTAACGCAATATTGATTCGAGATTCGAGAGATGAGAATTAATATTAAGGCCTAGTTTCAATAGGTGAAATTAATTTATAAATGGTTAAGTCGAGATTTGAGAGATGAGATTTAATACCGGTACATTAATTCTGTGATTGCAATATGTAGCGAAAGCCCTTTATGATCTGGTTAATTGATGCATTGATGACTTATTATTATGTTTTACTCTGGAATATTATTTATTGGTGAACCTATGCTCTAGGTCTTTTATTTATTGATTTCCTCCTACTTTTATTTCTCCCTACTCATATTCTTCGTAGTATAGTTCCTTTAAATAACAACTCTTGTTTACTTTATTAATTTAGATTATAATAATTAATTAGGAATCAAAAGACTTGTTTCTCTGTGGATTTGACCCTAC